CAAATAAAACCCAACTGCATAATCAGCACAGGCCAGGCGTGGGTGCGAGACAGTGTTCTGGGAGATATCTGTGTCGCTGCCTGATGACTCAACTGATTGCAGCTACGCAGACTGTACAGCATCCCCCACTGCAGCATGTATATGCATGCACGCACACACACTAACATTCCCATTCCCTTAGGTTCAATGCAAGAACCAGAAACTACGTCTACTTCGGTGCAGCATTTAGAACTGCAAGGCCCCAATCTTGAAAGGGGCCCCTGGGTACTATTCTAATAAAGCCATACTCACAGTGCTGTGGCTGACTGGAAATGGTGGAACACGACCAGAAAACACTGGGGAGAAGTAGGATAAGCTTTCTGGGTGACTGTGGCGGGCCAGTAGGGGGTGCTACAACACTGAGCCACCCACCTCACTGTGCCCGACCATAACGCTGCTTTGGGTGTCTCCCCCTGGAGCGCCTGCGTCCAGCCAACCCCCTTCCTGCAGCACACCCACAAGCCTGGGGTAACCGTTGCCACCACCCTGCCACCAAAGTCTGGTCTTTGTTAGGTACATGGACCCTGTAGACCTTGGGGTTGCTTAACCTACCATGGTACCTTGGGGTGCTTCTCTTAACCTGAAGCATTCACAAATAGCCTCCCTTAGCCAGCCGAGACAAGGAATGAGTAACTGTATCAATCTGCCTCCTTCAGGCATACAACTCAAAGACTAGGTTCATTCTTCTGACAGCTATTTCTTCTGAAGTACCCATTCACTGTTAGCATACACCTGACTGCAGCCTCAACTCCCATCAGAAAAGGCTTGCCTCATCCCTCTTAAGCACATACAGCAAGGCTTGCTATAATGGATAGCTTTATTGACTGGAGAGGGTAGGCATGGGGAAGGGTACAGGTCAGAGAAGTATCAAAAGAAAGACCCTGAGCAAACAGAAGCAGCTTGATAGCCTTTTGATACACTTCTAGATCACTTCATCCTAAGTTACTAGCTAAAATCCAAGTAAGTTACTCTCATATGCATCCAGAGCCTGACCAAGCTCTTTCTCTGGAGGCTGCATGGCTTGTTTGCTGTGTCCCAAAACGTGTCTGCCCCCCTACCTCATGGAGGGGCTCTTATACACTGGTTGTGACCTCATCACCAAGTTCCCACCAGAAGCAGACCCATTGGCTGCTGACCAGTGCTTCCAAATGACATCAGCCTGACCAGGTGAGATGACCTTTAAGAAGCGGCTTGATGCCTACCTGGCTGGGGTCATTTGAGCCCCGTGTTCTTCCTGCCCAGGCAGGGGGTCAGACCTGAAGATCTACAAGGTCCCTTCCGACCCGACTTCTGTGATATGATTCTATGATATGACCAGTCACATGACCTGCATTGGCAGGAACCTGAGGCACTAGAGGACCAGGGCTCCCCTCCCTTTGGGATGTTTGCAGCCCAGCTAGTCATGCAGGCACAATGGCAACACAAGAAGGGGGGTTGGGCTGCTGCCTTACAGCAGAGACAGACTGGGGGGAGGGCAATTACTCCACAAAGGTTATGCATCTAGTCAGCCCTGGCAAGACTGTGGGAGCCAATTACGTAGTCCAGCTATTCTTATCCCAAGGGGCTGCTAACATAAGAAACATTTTAGTGAGACTTGGAGTGACCAGCCCAGGTAGGCAATCCACCTTGGGTACAATTCCATCAACCTGAATGGAATTACAGTAAGGTTGAGTTGACACCAGATGATTGTTCTCTGTGACCTCATGGTTCGTGCCAGGCAATAGTGACATATGCAATGCCCCATCAAAGTATTTCATGTTTGCTGTGCATCCACCTGGCTCTTCACTGTTCTTTGTAGACAAAAAGGCAGATGAACCGTGCATGCAAGTTCTAGAAGAAGCCCTGCACAGCCCAAATTGTGTTAACAAGTGGAATTTACTGGTGAGAGCAGTTCCCAGCAGGAAGCCTGAGTGCCAAAAGATGCAACTCTGTCTAAAGAATACGTCCCTTCCGAGTCTAACATGCTACAAGTTAAGAAGCGAGTAAGGAACAGAAAGACTTGGAAACAGCTACAATGCCAAGATTGTAAACTTAGATCCTAGTAAAAATAAACTCAGTTAAGAGGATTATAATGCTAAGGGACTGTTGTGGTTCTGTGCAAGGGGACTACAAGAAGGGGATCATGTAAAGGAACTTGAATATTTTAACAATCAGAGACAACTGCGAAACATCAGAGAACTTCTGCAGCCATCTGGACCGACACACCCATCCCAAAGGTCTGCCACCAGTCATAATGGTTACTCCATAGGAGCCGGGTCTCCTGGGTTTTGTTCTCACTCTGACCATCAGATGAGGACACTTCCCAGAGACCTGCTAATCCCTTCCAAAAGGGGAATGAGACTTTCCCCTTCTTCCCCTGGGTGTTAGGATGCTTGAGGATTACAGAAATGCTTTCAAACCTTTGGACAAAAGATTCAATGAGGTGCAAAATTCGAGCCAGACTCGAGCATTCCTGGCATGCTTAAACATTGCCATGAGAATGCAAAGATAATTTCCAAATTAAGCTAAATGCCCCAAATCTTAGCAGCAGCAGGTTGAGATGTGAGCTTCCACCTTAATTCCTTCACTGAATCTAGTCTGTTTGAGACCAGACAAGGAACCCAGATGAGAGGAATCCAAAGGAGTTGACAAAGCCACTGCACACAGAAAATGCACAGGGTGAGTTTACATAACAGCCTGCCAGGCAGTGAGATGTGTGCCTGCGCGTCTTGTGGTGGAAGGCGTGTTGTTCAGAGAAGCTTCCCTTTCACGTTTCCTTACTTTTTCCCTTCATAAAACATTCATAAAATACTTAATTAAACATGACAGTCAGAGGGAGCTAGCAGGCATCATGCAAATGAACCCCAAGGAATGAGTAACTGTATCTAACTAATCAAGAGGTGCAATGGGAGTGTCATTCCCCTAGCAGGGAACATTAACACATGCCAGGCTATCAAGTGAGCAATCTGCCTCCTTCAGGCAGACGACTCAAAGACTAGGTTCATTCTTCTGACAGCTATTTCTTCTGAAGTACCCATTCACTGTTAGCATACACCTGATTGCAGCCTCAACTCCCATCAGAAATGCATTGTGCCAGGTGCTGTACATGCACAGCTTCACGGTCTTGTATGGTGACCTGGGCCCTGGATGGCTTTCCATCTAAAGAGACAGGGGGTGGGGGAAAGGAATGGTTGCTACTCCAGTTTGCAGATAGGTGGCCAGGACACAGAGAACCAGTGACTTGTCTGAGGTTACTCAGGGGATTGGTGACAGAGCTGGGGACTGAACCTAGTTTCCCAAGGCTCAATCCAATGACTCAGCCACACAGGTGGTCCTCTCAGCAAAACAGTGACACTCCTTTGGACAAATCTGGGGGAAGTCATTCTGCCAAAACTTTTCTTTTTACCTAAAACTGCAGTCAGTGACACTGAAACATTTCACAAAGTCATTGCAAATTTGGCGATATCTGCATCTCCTTTAATAGACAGGCAAGCAGAGCTGTAACTGCCAACTCTTTGATACCTGAAACTGTCTCAGGACCTGTCTCCCACCCTTCCTGATGTGCCAATGATCTCCCTGTTCCAAGGACCCACAGGGAGGCACCATTCGAGCCAGAACTGTGTTCCAACCACTAGTCTTCACTTGCCTTCACTCAGATTCTTCCCTCCCCAATGACCCAGCCCTCAATCCCATAACCTCCTCTTCCCACTGCCTTCAAGAATGTGCTAGTTCCCTCAGTGCTGAAAAAGCCTCACTCTACCCAGCCTTCTCCCTGCCTCAGGGTGATCTGCTGGGTGCTCTGCACAGGCCTCTGCCCTTCACTGAAATCCATCTCGCTACAGACATTGCCCTGCTCCAGACCAAATCTAAGAGCCTCTTCTCCATCCCCACCCCCTACTGTGCCAGCATCTGGGACACAGTCATGCCTGCTTTATGCTTTGAAGGCCCCTTGCTCCTGATTCTCCTTTCAACTCAACAACCTCTCCAGTGGGGGCTGGGAGAAGCTTCTCCCCGACATTTCCACCTTAGGTGCCCATTTGTCTGTATTTCTTACCTGGACTGATAGGTAACCCGGGCCATTGCACAGTGATGACTCTCAGATTCTCCTCCCACTCATCTCCCCAACACCATCTCATGGGTTTCCCCTGACACCTCCAATTAAATGAGCCCCAGTCTATGCATTTAATCTCTGCCCTCCCACAAGAGCCCCTTTCTTTTTCATCTGCATTGTTCCATCCTTCATCCCTCACTGCCTCCTAAACCCACTCTCTCCTCCCCTAGCCTAACCCACTCTCCTATTCTACTGCATTTTCTCCAGTGCTAGCCAGCTGCTCAGATCCATCTGCAGTGAGCCTTAGGGCTCCTGCCTATCCTCCCCCTTGACCCAATTCAAAGTATGTGCAGTGGCATCAGGGTTCCTACCCTGAAATGGCTCGATGAAGTGCTGGGCTGTGGGTGCAGTGCGTTCCCATCGGTACTTGGGGATAGGTTTGCCGTAGGGCGACTTGCAGCTCATGGTGATGTTGCCCCCGACGTAGGGGCTCCCATGGATCTGGCATGTCGGAGCAGATGGAGGAACTGTAGGGAGCCAAGAAGACAGCATTAGTGCCTGTCAATGGACAATTTCCAGTACCAACTTGCAAAAAGAAACAGCACCATCTCCTGGCCACAGGCAACATCCAAGAAATCCATGCTGAAATCAGAAAGCCAGAGCTGTCCCATAAGCTGGACCCTGGTGCTCTGACTGTTCTAGCCTGGCTCTCCATTGTTGGTGCTGCAGAGAAAACCTGCCCTGAGCCATTACTGGGAACAATATGTGAAAGTATTCAGGCTCCATGTTCATGTGCAATGTCCACTAGATAGTTAATGCCTTCAATGCACCAACATAATCATACTACACAAGATGGACCTTGATCCATGCTCCAAGTTTACTGTGCTGAAACGAAGCTCTTATCTAATCAGACCAGATAAGGAGGAAGCAGCACCCTGTTCTGGACAGCTATTCATGAAGCCAGGAGCAAGGGATGAATCTGTGCTGAACTTTGCTTTTCAATATTTATTTCTGAACATACAAGACTGCTACAATTCTGTAGTTGTCTCAGACCCTATCCCCAGGATATAACTGAGTTGCTCTGATATGACGCATCTACTTCCAACTTCCCTACAATCTCAGCTGTAGCAGAAGAACATAGGCACAGCCAGAGAAGATCATACCCCATCTCACTACAGTTGGTGGCTAGTTTCAGATAGCAGCAGTAGCAGGTGCTGCACAGAAATGTGTCAGACCGCTACAGCAACAGGTGAGGGATGGTCAGTACAATCAGTCCTACTCACTAGGTCTCACACTGGACTCTAACAGTTAGAGATGTGGGCGAGCCTGGAGGCAGGTGGCTCAATAGCCCTTCCACAAAGACGTGATTCCTGGTGGCAACCCTGGATATTCTTTATGTCCATATGAACGTCTGACCCCTCACCAGCTGTTGCTCAATGCTTCTCAATGACTTCGTGGCAAGAGTGCTAGAGCTCATCATACACTGTGTAAAAAGGCATTTCTGGGGTTTGAATTTGGCAATTTAAATTCCACCGAATGGTCCCTTTTTCCTGGATGACAACAGAAACTCCTGGTGTCTCACCCAATACCCTTTCTATAGGAACACTCCCAATCTGCTCTGTCTCTCTCTCTGTATCCGAGCGTTTCCCATGTTCTCAATTATTCATCTCACACCCCTCAGAGCTCTTACAGCCCTTTTTGAGACAGGTTCCAGTACAGCATACAGGGGCCAGAGGGGGTTAGATCACAAATTGGTATAATTATATTATCCCCTCTCCTGTGTTATTCACTGTTCACCTTCTACGTCCTAACTGCAGATAGTCAGACTCTTGCAAATCAGAGGTTCGTTAGGACATGCTGATTTCCTGATCCTGAAGCATTTCATTCCCATGAGCCAGGTCCAGGTACCTCACCAAATGCAAGGCTGGGTTCTGAAGGACACTGCTGGAGGCTGGTGCCCAGGAGCTGTGGGGCCCCGGGACAGAGGGGCCCAGTCATGCCAATGACCCCTGGAGCTGCTCAATGAAAGTGATATCAGTACTGGAATATACCAGTTCCACCAAGCAGCCCCAGGATCCCAGGAGCTTCTAGTTAGCTGGAAAATTCAAAACATTTTCATTTCAGTTTGACTTGGATCACAATTCACATGCAAATTTAAAAACAAAATCCTCTGAAGTAGGGAAGTCTGGGCTTGGACCAGTTTGAATCCTAATATCTTATCTGTTTTCCTTTTTCCCTTTTTAAGCACAGCTGTGAATTGAGCAGAGGTTTCAGTGGGTAGTAGTCAGACACACTCCAGCTCTTTCCTGAGTTGATGCAGGTATGTTAGAACATTGTAAAGTGCACAAAAAACTGACATTTTTTCTCCCCAGCATGCATTAGTTGCCTGTATGGACAGCAAACCACATATACACTGCCCACTCACTCAGCTTAGCTAGTCTCTCTGGTGTCCTTCACAGTCTTCTATGGTCCTGTCTAACCTAAGTAACTTTGCATCCTTTGCAGATTTTACCACCTCATTGCTCACTTCCCTTTCTAGTACAATAGCAAACCTATTTAACACAGGACTGTGTATAAACATTGAAGCCCCTTTATGTTAACCCTTTGCCATCACTTTATGCATTATTGTACTGGGCATCACAGTGTGGTTGTGATATGCAAGGGGAGGCCTTATCCAATCCTGCTCTTCTCTGGTTTTCGACCATGCCTGGACCACAAACACAAGTTTGTTACAGGCACATTTTTCAGCTTTCCCTCTCTCTACATGAAGAACATTGAAGCTGGTGCTCTTACAAAGCATCAGCCCTAGCTGCAAGTCCACTCTGGGGTCACATTAGCACCTCAAGCCATGAAGGAGCACACTGGGACTGGAAACAGGGGAGAGCAAGTGAGGTCCCAGGGATGAACTGAGAAGGAGGTAGCCTCAGAAGCATCAGCAACCTGGCTGTGGCTAGAGACCAACAGAGGAGCTGTGCCAAAGAGGCAGAGACAAAGCAAGGCCTTTCTCCATTGAACCACTGCTAGAAGTTGCCAGACTCAGTGTAGAGGGAAGGGCAATGGGGAGGGGCTGATCCCTGGAGAGAAAGCCAAGTTCAGAAAAGGTATGCTCTACTCTTCTCGCATATTAGGTAGGGAAGAAAGTTCCCCCCTCATCAGCATGAGCAGGGCACTGGGCTTCATGCTAGAGTGGATCAAGAATAGATTTACCCAAAACTGTAAGGTTGATGAGTCCAATATTTTTCCCATCGATGGCGCTATCATCCTCCACATTGACTGTGCACACGTACTGGCCAGAATCTACCTCCTGGGTATTGTTGATAAAAATGGAAACATTAAAGTGTGGCACGGGGTGCACAAAACCAATCCGATGCTTCAGGGATGTATCTTCCACTTTTATAATTCCATTAATATATGTCAATATCTGAAAGGGGAGAAGAGAGTACAATTACTTGCAGCCTTCAGAGGAAAGGAGTTACTACTGCAGGCTCAAAAATGCACATCTACATTAGAATGGAGACATGGAAAACATTTCAGTTCACATCCAGCAGGGGAGTTACTCTTTCCTGAGGTGAATGGGGTTGTTCTCCTCTCTCCAAACTATTGTCCCAGATTCTCTGCAGTCTCAGCACTCATTACATCTGGGACATTTCTGAAGTTGGGTATATGGAACAATATCAGCTGTTTCCAAGCTCTGAGTGAAAGGGGTCAGAGCTTGCACTTTTGTTGACATAATTGCCATTTGCCTCCTTACCACGTGCAGACACAGTCCTTCCCATGCCCCTAGTCAGAAATCTTTTCTTAATGAACAGAGAACAATGTTAAAAGAACTGCAGACCCATGAAAATCAAGCCATCAAGAGCTGGGGGAGCTTTCATAAAAGCTGTCTGTGCGTGGCTTAGCTTAACTTCAGCTTGTGAATGTCCAGCACGAATCCTCAGATTCACATTGCTGAAGAACTGCAGTAGAATAAACTTGATAATATAAATCAGGGGAGGGCTGTGTGGGTAGGAGGTGTGCAGTTCAGTGACTGTTCACAGGAACCTCTAGTATTATCTCCAGTCAGTGACTGCAACATAGACACCTACATAGATGTACCCATGCTAGCTTTAACCTTGTTGGCTGGAAGACTGATAGCAGTGAAGCTGTGGTGGTATGCGTCACCAGGGCCTGAGCTGGCTCGTACAAACTGTGTTGAGGCCCATGCGGCTGAGGTTTCACAGCTGTCAGCACCCAAGCTGCAACCATGCTGTGTCTGCAAGATATACCAATGGAGTCTAGTGCCCAGGGTCCACTTTCCCTCAAGTCAGCTACAAGTGACATGTGGAGGGAAGTGCTTTGAAAGGAGACTCACCCATGAAATGAGGTTTTTAGAACAAAACCAAGGCATTTTACAGCATTGGGAGGAAGCATCACTGACCCCTGTGATCTTCCACCCTAGCGCACTCTTTTGCCTATTCCAGCTGTCTCTCTCCCTCACTGGAACTCTCCACTCCTCCTCCTCCTCCTCTTCTCCCTGGCCTGGCAAGTCCCCTCCTGCCCTGTCTAGACTGGGAGAATCTGCCTCCTGCCCTCTCCAGACTGGGAGAATCTGCCCTCTGGCTCTTCCTCATAATATAATAAGCCACTGCCATTGTCAGTAGTCTGGTTAGCTTGTTTAATATATCATGCCCTACTGAAAAAACCTGATAAAGGTTCACTGGGTATGGGGGGTATCCTTATACGCTAACTGAAAATGAGTAGATAGATATATGAGCTCATCTAATAACAGTCTGGCTCTGTCTACATTCATTTTTGCAACACTGAGCTTCCAGCAGTTGCAAATCTCCACAGTTCCCCTCCCCTTCTATCTGGGAGGAGGGATTTAGTCTTCCTGGACTCCTACTAAGGTGGTTTAGCCACTGGATGGAGACACACACGTGTTACAATGAACACAAGGCATTTTGGAGAGTGATGGACTCTGTTTTTAGAACTCCTGAGGGAAGGGATGCCAACCCAAGGCAATTTTCTTACTGACAATCTGCAAATGTTTTACTGACAACCACATTTTTGTGACATGTTTTACATAATGAAAATGTAACACTTAAGCCAGGCCCTGGGCAAAGGTCAGATTCAAATTTAGGGGGTTTAACATCAACCATAGTAAAAAAGTTAGATTGTCAGTCAAAAATTTGCAGATTATGAGGGTTATTAAAAAGTCCTGGATTAGCAACTCTGCTTGACTGCAGCAATGGTTTTTACATCATGCTTCCCTAACTTCAGGGACCAGGTCCCCCTAATCATCCCCACACCCTTTCACACCCAACCATACCCTGCATCATGCTGCCTCCTAGCCCACCCCCCAGCTGTACTTCCCTCCAGCCCTCCATCCCAGACCCCCAAAGAAGGACTACTGTCTGCTTACTTGTGACCCAACAGTGTTACAGGCAAGTGATGGGATGCAACAGCAGCAGCACATGGCTAGGGTGGGGGACAAGGAACCTACAGAGGCTCCTGTGGGTTACAAAGCCCTGAGACAATGCTTTGTGCAGAATACGGAGCTCCCACTCAGATACTAGGAGGAGCTGCTCTGCCTGTCCTTCAACACTGTGCCTATATCTTATTTCTGGTTAGAAATCTTCAAACAAGCTCCCAGTTGCTTAGATTTTTTTTTTTAATGGAGGGACCCATTTTTTTTTTCACACCTTATGGACAGGTGGTTTAAGTCTTGTTGTTTTTATAGACTGTCCTAATGTCCTCTCCGAGTCATGAGAAGATGTCCTTATTTTAGCCTGAAAATTCTGAAAAGGTTTCCAACTGGTAGAAGATGGCACCTCCAGACCTTGCACTGCATAGTCACAGAATTAAGTCCAGGGCAAGGAGGCAGGAGACCCCTAGTTTTAATCCAACCTTTACTGCTCACTAGCCTTTAATGGCACTCAAACATTTTAGTGGGTACCTTGAGAGATAAGGCAGCAACTCAACACTATGGAGAGGCTAAGAGGCTGAATGACTAATCTGAAGTGAGAGAGCCAGGATGAGAAGGCAGGTCTCTGCAGTAGGCATGTCTACTGACATGTGTCAGAAACCGTCCAGGCCAATGCCCACCTTCCCTATGATCTTGTATGCACTGGAGAAGATATTCAGCTGCATTTTCAGTGAGTTTTACCCTGACAACATCCAAGGGTGCCCACAGAAGACTCATTTGCTGCATCACATTTGCCCTTGTGACTACCCTCAGGCTGCCCAAAGCTGGAGAGGTATGAGCTGCAGTCAGCTGTTCCCTCAGCTAGTCGCTCTCTCCAAAACCCCACAGGAGGACAAAGGAGCCATGTGGTGGAAGTGATAGCTCAGGCTCTTTTAAAAGGTCTGCCGCTAGTTACCAGCACCCACTCACAGCCTATTGTATCACTTAAGCATTTCTCTAGCTGGAACTCCCCCTAGGCTCTCTTTTGCTAGGTTCCCACTTTCTTCTTTGCATGCAAGACATTTACCTGCAATCGACTGGCTCCAGGTCTTTCGAAGACCCATAAGATATAGGGTTTCTTCTGAGAGCTGCTCTTATACCAGACTGGCAGCACCACCTGCTGCCCTCGAACTGAAGAGACAGAGACGTTTCCTACATGCATTTCCAGCAGTGCTGATGAGAGACCTGAAAAGAAAGAGAGAATCAGCATGCTAGGGCCCAATGCCTATTCCTGCTATGAACAAAGGGTAGCACCAAACCCAAGATCCCATTGATATAGACCAAAACCCCAAGTTCTCTGAGGTACCAGCAGTGAAATGAGGGGCATGGCATGTACATCTGCAATACATCATGACATAGAACTGGTACTTTACAATGCAATGGCATTTTTAACCTAAGGCTCTCACAGTGTGGGACAGACTACACAAGTGTCTTTGGGGCCTCCTGTTAGAAGTCAGGGCAGCAGATAGGCTAAATTGCCCCCAGGTGGCCCCAGTTACCTGAGGAGGCCAGGCTGCCAGCAGCCTACTTCCAGCTGGCCTCAGTTACCAGAATTTGCATGGTTCCCTCCACTCTTTCAGTACCCAGAAGACTAGTCAACAGGACAGGTGCCTCTGTCTAGCCCTGGGCTTCCAAATCCTTATTTCTGGTTCCTGACTAGTTGTTCCTAGTTCCCTGGGTCCTGCTTCCTGGTTTCTGCCTGTTGGATCCTAGTTACAGACTCCAGCCCAGACCACTTTGTTCCAGACTTGCCAGCTTGACCCCCAACCCTCTTGTTCCTAACTTCAGTTCAGACCCCTATCTTCTGCCAGCCACTTCCTAGCCTGTGACTTTAGTTTGGTGATGGCCCACATCCTGTTCCTTACAGCTGCAGCTGCCTGCTCTAGCTCCTCCAGAAAGTGACTCTGGTCTGGATCCCTCTGCTCCTGATCCCCCTGGCTTGTGGCCAGAGGTGTATCTGGACAGCTCTGTGCGATGCCTGGGGCAGAATTGGCTGCCACAGTGCTGATGGCAGTGGCACGATCAGCTGTGGCTATTTTTGTAGCCCCATACAAAGGTGGTACTTGGGGCTGTTGCCCGAATCACACCCTCTTCACTGTAATGCTAGTTGTGGTTCTACCCAGGGCGACTGACTGCATCTTGGTCCTTTACAGACCCTGGTCTCCTGATGGTCTGCACCTGATCTCCTGAGTCATGGCTAGTTTGGACCATCTGTTTTTGATCCCTTGGGTTGTGGCTCTCTAGGGTCAAGCACTGACTCCCTGTGTCCCAGCTGTATCCCTGAAACCTCCATTGTCACAAGCTGTATTGGAGTTGTCCCATGCAAAGTGCGTGTATGTGTGTACACACACACACACACACACGAAAATGCACATCAACTAGAACAAGAAAAAAAAGCAAAAGTCTGTTTTCTGGAAACCAGCAAGCAAAATCCAGGAAGCTAGGACTTGGGGCCTGTGTTTAAGAGCTGCGAACCAATTTTATTTTGTATCCCTCTGATTTACAAGCAGCTTGTTTCTAACACTTAATGCTGTGGATGGAGACCTGCACAAACAACTCCTTTTAAAAATAAACCCAAAACCCAGCTTGCAGGAGACTAGTTTAATAACCAACCATGGGAATCATGAAGCTGTGAGCATGTCACTAATCTCTCTTAGGTACTTACATGACCCCCATTACCATAGTAACTGAGCATCTTACAATCCTTACTGTCTTTATCCTCATAGAACCCCGAGTAGGGAGACAGAGCTATTATTCCAGGATTGCAGACGGGGAACTGAGGCACAAAGAAATGAAGCACCCAGGGTCCAACAAGGGCTCAGGGTATAGTAGGGAACTAAAATCAGGTCCCCAAAGAGAAGCTTTCCAGGACTCTCTCTGATTCTGGGCACCAGATCCTATAGTAGGACACCAGACTCAGCAGCAGCAGCAAGGTGTGTAGGTGCCCAGAGCAGTTTTTGGCAGGCATTTAGAAACATCAGAACCAAAAAAAGGTGGTTTTGCACCAGCTCATCTGGAGCAAGTGAAGACCAGATCAGACACTAAGGCAAATACCTATAATATTTCAAAGGTGGGTTCAAATAAAGTAATTGAGCTTCTAAGTTCATCACCTGGTTGAGATGAAGAGTCACTGAACTGTTTGCAGCTATGCTAATACTGCTGAAGGTCCAGTTCAGATTCCCTTCACAACCATCCCTGCTGGAAACTCTTGGATTCCCTTTCAAGACAAACTCATGTTTTCCAGAAGTCAAAGGTGTCATGGGACTTGGCCTGGTACCAACCCTGAGGGGTCAACCCATGGGCTGGGTCCCCCAAAGATCACCTCATCCTGGAACCTTTTTCTTTGCTTTCTGAGTCTTTAGAGGACACTTGTGTTACATTTAAGCTTTTATTGGTAACTATAAAGACAAGGAACTTTCAAAATTGAAAGCTGAGATTCTTCCTTAAACCCAATTCCAGAAGCTGCCACTTTTGCACTCTTAGCTATGTTTGCTGAGAGAAATGTGCAGGCATAGCAGAGCTAGCTGCTCTCCAGCTCACTGGATAGTGGCAGGACCGCTACCAGGACCACTACTACCAGTAGCACTACCAATAGTGGCAGGACTTCAGTCGGGGATGGAAAAGCCTGCCTGGGACCACAAGGCTAATGTTGAAGTCTGTGCTGCCATTTTTCATTGTTTTTGACCAAAGCCAGCTCAGCTACATCTGCATATGCTGTGATCACACCAAACTACAACATGGGCACAGCCTAAGAAAAGCAAAACTAAAAATGTCAAGAGTTGCTGACACTGGAAGTGCATTTTTATCCTTTTATGATAGTGAAGAGGAGAAAGTCCAAATGGAGTGAAAGTGAAACATTTGACAGGCCAGCTTGTACTTTGTCAGCGTGGGCTGTGATCAAAGGACAAATCCTTCAGCAGAAAAGACTTGGATAAGTATTTTTACTTTCATTGATAGTCAGAACTAGCTGTAACTGTCTCCTGGTCTCTTAATGTTTTAATTGTAGCAGCTCTAATGGAAACATTTGAGAGAGAAACTAATGACTCTTGAAAGTGGTGAGCCAGATTTTAACCTTGCGGATTTGCACACAGAAGCTGGAGGGCGATGCATCAACTGAGATCTGACTGGCTGAGATTATTTTTCATCTTTCTGACATTCCAATACCACAGAATATGCCAAAGAAAGAGGAGACTTGCCCACAAAGTGAGGGGGAATTAACATACATCCTTCAGACTTTTCCCACTGCCATTTTCATAGTCCAAATTCTATAAATAGCCTGACTGAAGTGTTTGTTAGCATTGCAAATGTGATTTATTAACAGGAGGCTCTGGATATAGGAGCTAGTGACCAGAAACAAATCGTCCAATGAAGTTTAATGCACCAGCTCCTTTGGGATTTCTTTAGAAATGGTGATAATCTGTGTTTACATTTGTGCCAGCAGTAATACAGCTGGAAGGGCGGGTTCCTTCCAGTAGCGTCTCTCCAATCAAACAGAACTGTTTTGCTGCAGCGTGCATGCTGGCAGGGTTGCCAGCTAGATGCAATAGATTTCTGTTACAGGGTCCTCAAGGCAAGGGACAGCCTTTAGTACAGCACCGAGTACATCGCTTGATAAAAAAAAGTAACACCATCAGTGACTTAAAGGTTTTACAGTCAGACCTACCTCCATCCAGTATGCCACTCACTGTATGAGCATCACAGTTCAGAGGGGCCCATAAAGAACTCTTGTGTGGAGGGCGGAAAGATGGGGTTAAGACTAAGAGAATATGGTAGGAGCGTAGAGAAAGAGTGAAAAGCTGGTAGGTCAGAGGTGATCCTATTTCCCCTCGCTGCTGAATTCAGTAAAGTGGGGCAGGGGAAGGGTGAACAGCAGCACCACTCCCTCCCTGGGCTCTTGGACTGTGTAAAAGCAGGGACCCTGGGCAGACCCCACCCGCATCAGCTGGTGAGTTGAGGGTGTATGTGGAGCTCTGGCAGGAGCTGTACTGATATGTCAATGAGCTCAGTGAGCTCACTGGGACCCAGGATTACGGTAAAGAGGGTGCGCCTCCCCCCTGCCCCCCCACAACTTCAGCAGTGTGGTGCATGTGCAACAAACTGTCTTCACTGCACAGGCACCACATCGGCGAAGGGGGTGTGACTGTATACCCATCACCACAATCCTGGATCTGCCACTGATGTTGTACAGCAAAGTGTTGGAACTCACTGCCACTAGAAACTGGAAAAGAGAGGCCTTACTAGAATTCGGAAATATATCTAGAGGAGAATACCCAGAGTAACCAGAGGAGAGTTGAGGGATATAAAAGCCCCAGGCCTCAAGTCACAAAACCACCAGCAGCTGCCTGAACTGGGGAAGAGGTGTCCTTGTGGCTGGATCTTCCGTGTCTTGTGGGCACTTTCATCTGATACAGTCAGTCCTGGCTACAGAAGAACCTGCAGAAGTGCAATCTGCATTGCACATGGCAGAGATTTCCAGCCACCTGTAAATGTGTCCTGAGATTTTGGGTACTTTAGCCTGCATGAAGCTGTGTGCTCCCACAATTAGACTGCACCTGTGGGAGCAGCTAGACTGCTTCCAGCACCTGGCCAGCTCACATAGAGCTTGACTACATCACTGCCCAGTGCTGCAATGCAGAAACACCTATAAGGACTCTAGGCAGGGGACAGCCTTCGAATGGAGCCTTCTGGTAACATGAGAGTGCCTATGCCTGCAAAGATGTGTTGCCTGTGTGCCGTCATAAATGTTTTTATGGAGGCACAAATTAAAAGCAAGCAGACATCCATGCCCTTTGTCATGTCACAAATGCTCAAATTTGGGCCATGGCAAAACTAGCACTATTCTGTGGCAGATGTTTGTTTCAGGATCATCAGGCAGGTGCTCCCTTGGTCCAACCCTGCATGGCCTCGGAGTTCCTAGGGTGCACAGGATCAGGTTCCTGAAGCCCCAGAGCCTGCCTGGTGTTCCTCCTTTTGTAGAGGCATGCCATGACTTGGAATCCCTCTGCAAGTGAGGAAAACCTGGGAAAGATATAAAATGTAGAGAAAGGGGTCTAGAAAGTGTGGCTTGGAAGCCTTTGAGTAGGTGTAACAAAGACTACACCGCAAGTCTGCTTCTCACCCTCTGTGCAGCACTGCCATTTCACCCCGTGAATCCAGTGCGAGACAGAGACCAGAGGTTGTTTCGA